GATGAACAAATTACTATTGTTAATTTGTTACTTGACAACAACAATGTTTTTGTCCACAACCAACACAACCCGCCCACCCCTGCACGTGCGGAAATACATAGTTCCCGCTGACTGGCGCTGCTGCTGCGCCACCAGAAATGGCGGTTTGTTATTCGTAAATAATGTTCGTTGACAAGAAATATCGCAAGTATACCATTGCAACGATAGTTAGAGGTAAAACTTTAGTAGCGGCTATAACTTAAGACATATTCACTTCGGATAAGAGGCATTAATTGCCTACCACAGACGTTTTATAGTCGGGTATAATCGGGGATAAGTTGGTACATTGCATGCCCCATGGGTCGATCTATAGCCCAGCGGCAGTTAATGTAAGCGGCTATAGTACTAGAGCTAGTGTAGAACCAGCCCGTACGTTGTCTTGCCAACGTGACGTCACACTTCGGTACTCTATAGGGACCCTAGGCCTACCTACCTAGGGGCCTACCCTTTTTTTTTCGGCATGTAACGCCCGGTAAACCGCACATATAATATATCTTGTTTTGGCCTTAGAAGTTAGCGCAGTATTGCACTGGCGGTGAGGAGCTTGCAAGCCCATGATTACATATTATATATATATATATATATATTATATATCAACTACTAGGCTACTAAACTAGTAACGCCGGCGTAATTTTACCTATCAACATATCGCAGAGGTCAGAGTTCACGTTAGCCTCCGGTGCCTTTCTCTTGCTCATGATGTCTGTAGTAAAGTGTTTTGGCTTTATGTAACTTGTTGGTGTTTCACTTAGTACTAGTAGTTTTCGCGAGATACGGAAAAGTGATATCATTCACACAGACTATATAATATCCTAATAAAACACTCTAACTGAGTAAGAAACAATAACAAAGACGGTTACTATCGTCGTTGGTAAACAAATCGCATGAGAGCAGAAGAACGGCCAAAACTGTAGTTCCGTATTTTACCGCACGGTGGCGCTCAATTCGAATGCTCTTTCTTTTACAAGATATCCACGTGCGTTTCGACATCTTCACGTTTTGTCGTGCTAATTATTCTGTATTATTCTGTAAAACACAGCTATGTTATCCGCAAAAGTAGGAGCGAAGAAAGCTGGAAAGGTATTTCGTGGAAATGTTGAGTAAAAAACTGTGTAATGTAAACTGTATTACTGGCAGAGACTTGAATTGTGTTGTGTTGAAATGTTGGTTTTTGTGTACAGCCAGTGCCACCATTCCATGTCGTCTTGTGACATGCCATGCATAAATCTGACAACGTGCAACCCGCTATTTTTGCATGATGTGATAATATCAATCGGATTTGAATGTTATTTAAAATTTTTTTTTAAGCTTTATAAATTTGTTAGTCTCTTGGAGTATGAAGAACTAAAAATTTGTAACCAACCTCTTGCGATTACACTGCATAATTCACTGACTTGTTCATACTCTTAGTTTCAGAAAACCACGGTGTGCCCGCATCACGAGGATGCGAGTCTAGCATCAGAACGGTGACGTGTAGCATTGCAGCTGTTGCAACACGGCGCAGAGAAAGCAATGTTTGCACAGCCGTTGCCACGGCAGTCGCACGATACGGTTACTTACGTAACGTGACCCTGGCGTTGCAGGGTACGGGTGCCTCGGTGGTTACGATGGCGATATGCACGGCACGAGGGTTGCACACTATTGGCCCTGTATACGCACGCACGAACCCCTGTCGTAGCAGGGTAACAATCGATCGGTTACGCAAGCACGAACCCCTGTCGCAGCAGGGTACGAATAAACGGCAGCCCTGTCGTTGCAGGGTACGAGGGTGCATTATGGTAATGACCCCCCGGTGAGCGATTACGCTGGTCTGTCGCAAGCAGACGCACGCACGAGGCCCTGTCGTAGCAGGGTACGAATGGTTGGCAGCCCTGTCGCAGCAGGGTACGAATAAACGGCAGCCCTGTCGTTGCAGGGTACGAGGGTGCATTATGGTAATGACCCCCGGTGAGCGATTACGCTGGTCTGTCGCAAGCAGACGCACGCACGAGGCCCTGTCGTAGCAGGGTACGAATGGTTGGCAGCCCTGTCGCAGCAGGGTACGAATGCTCGGCAGCCCTGTCGCAGCAGAGTAGAAACGGTTCGTTACGAGTAACGGTACGATGATTCGTCCGGCCACCCGGGGCGGGCCGGAGAATTTCCGTCGAGTGTGGATGCGGCGGCGCGCGAAGGCAGTCGGGACGAGACGACTCGGCGTCGGGGTCGGCAGCTGCGCTGGTGCGAACCAGGTCAGTACTGGCCGACACGCTGGGGGGCGGGCGGGCGGGGGTGCACGCGACTCCTGGGGGGTGGCGGGTCATGACGATGTCGCGGCCAGGTAGTGGGAGGGCCTAATTCGTCGGCTGATGTATTTAGTTATTCCTAGGAGCTCTTTTACTAGCGAGGTGATGTGGCTGCAAATGCAGGGTCTCCAACCATTCCTCATTCTGCGGAATCATTACGATTTCTAGGCTTAATTTCCGCATTCCACAGCGGCAAGGTTATATTCCTCATTTCAGTTGCACTGTGCAAAATTCGCACTGATTGTTCGCATTGTTCGCTTGGACACATTGTTTTTTTTCCGCTGGTGCCTGAGCACTGGCCACGCGCTGGTGCAGTACAGATGGAGCAAGTTTATTAATAGCCCTCACTGCCCAAGTCGTTTCTTGGAAATACATAGTGCTCATAGTGCTCTCTGCCATTACCTTAGCTTTGCACTCTTCCCCCCCCCCTACCATCGCGCAGTGTTGTAATGTGTTTCTATGCATTTTGTATCTGGCATGTCTACGGTAAATGGAACAGCCTAGTCAGACAGGCGCTGTCTGCAAGGTGTCGCGTAGTTTGTCTGCTAATCAGATTAACACGTGGGGAGAATGGCATCCACATTGCCAACCAAAAAACCTCGACTTTTACAGAAATTCAGGAACGAATGTACACAAATGTGTCCTGTACTTGTGAAGTCAAAACTCGGTGTTAATCATGGCTATTGCATGGTATGCAGGACAGACTTTCAAGTGGGGCACGGAGGAATGAAAAGTGTTTTAAATCCTAACTTGTAGGGTTGAGTCTAGGGTTGAGATAGTGGCATCAGACGTGAGAATATGGCCCACAGTATGCCGCAGATTGCAAGAAAATGGCTTAAATATTTCAAAATTTTCTGGTGGGTATGCCCCCCTTCCTGCGGCAGCCAAGGTCATCAATTTCAGAATAAGCCACTAGTTGCTCGTCACCGCCAGAAACATTCCGCATTTGGAGTTCACAGGGTTGGAGACCCTGCAAATGACTGCCAATAATGGCCGTGGGTGTAGGTGCTTCTCTGTCCACTAGTGTGGTGTCTGCATCTCTAGTAGAAGGCCTGCTCCAGCAGCCTGTTGTGCACTATCTTGAACCAGGCGGGTAGACGAGGCTCGTCTGGCCTGCCTAGTGCTACAGCATCCACCCGACGACATGTCCGCGTCGCTAACCCACCGCGACTCGGAGCATGTGACCAGGGTTACACAGAAAACGTTGCTCTGTCGCCAATTAATCGCTACGAAATTGGGCGGCCCCCCATCGCTAATGCGTAGTCGGGCGTCCCCGAGTTGTTTAGGTGGTGGCGGGCATCCGATGTTACCTTGCGGTGGCTACGATGGTGTAGACAGACGGAACTCGCGATCACGGATCACTACACTGACTAGTGCACCGGTGACGGGGGTTCGTTTAATATCGAACGAGTTTTCACAGCAGCCGTAACGCTAACCTGGGTTGTCCATCCGAGCTTGGGTTACGATGCCTTAATCCTCATCCAGTGGGGATCTGTCTTGCCGAGATATCTGTTTTTGTTCACGCAGGAGCTAACGTAAACCCCACAAAGCTCGGTCAATATTTGTGTCATGTGTGCGTGGGAGCACTGCACCCCCGAAAAAAGCCGAGTGCCGTCTCTCGATCGTGGCCGGGGTCGCTTAGCCGTGTAGCGTCTTGACCTCGTCCGTTTTTTTCACGTTTACTTTCAGATAATGTAGATTCGGCGGTATTGACGATTTGTAATCTCATCTCGTATGTTTTTCTTCCGAGAGCAGAAAAGCGTGATTGTGTCGATCCACCGTTCTCAATCTCATCGTCTTGTTTATTTCTTTCGCGGAATCGCGTCGCAGGTGAAGAAGGGAGCCGCGGGAAAGAAGGCAGTGAAGAAAGTTCAAGTCGTGCAAGCGGTCGAAGAGGAGGAGGAGGATGACGAGGAAGATGATGATGATAGCGAAGAGGAGGAGCAGGCTGTTGTCGCCGCCGACGTTGATGACGAAGACGACGATGAAGAGGAGGAAGATGAAGGGATGGAAGAGGATGATGATGACGATGATGATGATGAGGAGGAGGAAGAGGATGACGACGAAGACGAAGATGAAGATGATGAAGCCACGGCAAATGGTACGTGAACCAGGGCAGGGTGCGAAATTAACGGGAGTCTGGAGTCAAATACTCCCTGATTTACTGTCGGACTCCCTGATTTGACATATGCAGGTTTATCTTGTTATCAGTGGGGGTGAGGGGGTTGGAAAAGTTGTGAATGTGGGTTACATAGGAACAAATGTGTGCGTAGCCTTCTCGTCACGAAGGCTTAAGGAATGTCAATGTATATATTGTTTGTTACAGCTGACATATGGAGCGCGTAAATTAAACCGTGACCGTTCCACTCTACACCCCTCCGAGTGGCGCGTGTCTGTTATTTTACGAGCAGTGCTGTTATTGTCTACAGGTGTGCAAGAGGTGAAGAAGGTGGCCGGCAAACGCAAGCTAGCAGGAAAGCCAGCAGCTGTTGCTAAGGAGGCTGAGGATGAGAGCGATGATGATGATGATGAGGAGGAGGAGGAGGAGGAGGAGGAGGGCAGCAGCGGTCCGCAGAAGAAGAAATTGAAGAAGGATTCCGAAAGCGAGTCTGAGGACGACAGTCCTTCAATCGGTACGTAGCGGGGACAGATACTCTGACAGCCGATTGCTGTGTGGTGTGAGTTTGTTTCTTTGGTGTGAGTGTGTCTGTCTGTGCGTGCGCGCGTGTGTGTACGTGATGTGTGCTTGGTTAGGCTCGCTGCTCTCCGCTCCGTCTCGTGACGTTGTCCGAGCGCGATCGTTAAATCTCTCCCGTCCTTCGTCTTGCAGAGGTCGTCGAGTTGTCTCTCCAGGGGGCGAAGTTGAAGACGCAGGCCGACGTCATCCACTTCTTCCATGGGACCGGCGTCCATCTTGCAGACGCGACGACCGACGGCAGCAAAGTGTGAGCGTTCGCTTAAGCCCCGGACACACTAGGCGATTTTCACCGGCGACTCAATTGCCGGTGAAAATCGCCTAATGTGTCCAGTCAGTCGCCGCCGATTTTCGAGTCGGGCGACTGAGTTGCCCGAATCAAACATGTTTGGTAAAATCGGGCGATTATTTCAGTCGCGCGACTACAATCGCCTAGTGTGTCCGGGTTGGCGAATGAGGCCAAAACAAAATATAGGTGTGGTTACCGTTTCCCGACTGACCCTATTTATTCCTAGCGACCCTAAACATTTTATTGTCATTTTTCTTTAAAGTAATAAAAAATATAGATGTAAAAAAAATATGAATTGGCCAGTTTCTGCTTCAAAAGGCACAACGCACACATCCTTCGGACATGGTTCGTAAATAAAATGTTTTCCCTACCTACCTACCCTATTTTTTTCCGGCATGAAACGGTAACCACACCTATATTTTGTTTTGGTCTGAGTCGCCCGAATGTACAATTCATCAGCCAATCAAACGGTGCCATTTTCATGTGACTATCAATCTAGGTGGCGCGAGTGTTTTAGTGTTGCAGCAGGAGAAAAATCGCCCAGTGTGTCCACTCAGTCGCCCGACTCACTCGCCTAAAAAAATCCCCTAGTGTGTCCGGGGCTTTAGCGGCGGTGGCGACGGTCGCGCGTCCGTTCGAGTGTTGATGGATATTTTTATGGTGGTGTTTCGGTTGGGAGTCGTCGACTCGCGTATGTCGGGAAATGTGGTCTGAAGCGGGTCTCTTCTGCGCGTCTTTGCTCTGGGAATCGTAACGGGGGGGGGGGGGGTAACGTGTGCTAGTGGTCTGGGAGACCGTCTTTAGTTTTTCATCTTTAGTCTATGAATCGTAATGAAAAGGTGTCCGTGTTTCTAGCAGGCCTGCCCGAGCAGCCTGTCGTGCACTATCTTGAACCAGGCGGGTAGACGAGGCTCGTCTGGCCTGCCTAGTGCTACAGCATTCACCCGACTACATGTCCGCGTCCCTAACCCACTGCGGCTCGGAGCATGTGACCAGGGTTACAGAGCGTCGGCAGCGGAAAGTGCGTCGACGTGTTCGTGATGCGTGCGGAACAAAGGTTCCCGCTCTGTGACGCGGCGCGCTGACGATGTGTTATCTCTTTTTTTCATTCTTTCAGAACTGCGACGCTTAAAGTGCCAAAGAAACCCAAGGTTAAAGGTAAGCGTACAAATTATGCCATCTTTTGTGGGTCTATAATGTCGTGTTGTAATTTGCAACATGGAAAGCGGCTGCCCGCATTAAAATCCTATGTTGTCTAGCATACGGCTTGTGATAACTCGCATTGTCCGGCGTGTCTCGGCCGAACGTTCGATTGTTGAAAAATTGGTCAGACAGTCGGCGATATTGTTAGTCGTATTGCGTCTCGTGTGAACGTACCTCTTCAAAAGGCGGAACTGGCCTCTCTCTGCCTTCTTCCGTAAGACAACTGAGGGAGATGAAATGCCTCGTGGTTGCTACTTAGAACACTGACAATCTGAGGCAACATGTTAGATCGCTACGCTGAAAAGCGGACAAGTGGCTGACTAGCTGCTCGTATGGGAGTGGGGTGGGGCTGTTGTCGTAATGTTTGTATATGAATGGATGCGTGGTGAGGTGTTGCTATGTCAGGGCGGGCACCTGTCCCTCCGCGAAAGCGAGAAACCTTCGTCACACATCTCTCTTTCTCTCTTCACGTGTGTCAGGGTCGAAGACGATATTCATTCGGAATCTACCGGAAGGCACGGAGAAGGCCGAGATGGAGGAACTGTTTCCCTCTGCCATCGCTGTGAGGCTCCCCATCACGTTTAAAGGGTGAGAAAACCGGAGTCTGCGTCAGCGTCGTTGCCGCTGCGTTTGGCGTTCGTGTCATACGCCAAATTTATTCGTACCATAGCTGCGGTACAGTCGCATCTGTGTACGAGGGTCGTGACGTAAGGGTGACGCCAGAAACTGGAAGCGTCTTTTGCGGACTATACCAATGTATGAGAGCAGATGCGAAGCGGACTTTTATAGACCAACGTCGATGTTTTTTGCGAGTTGACGGTTAACGTGCGTCAGGGTCTCTATTGTCTCCTCGACACGAACCTACGTCGCTGCCGGTCGAAGCGTGCGCCTGCCGTAGAAATTACGGGGAAGGAATTCCGAGATGCGCGCGTCGTGTGTTTCGTTCTGTGATGATATAACGATGACGAGGCTGATCTTGCGCTTACCCGCTGCGAGGCACTCTTGATGAATATCGAGGCATTTATCTGAGAACGTACACACACATTTAACAAGTCATCTTAACTGGGGCGAGTACTGGCCTGGTATTCTTAACATAACACGCCGAGTACATAAGTCTCTTAACAGGTGCGTGTAGAGTTTCTCTAACCGTCAGGTCGTGAACGCGTCTGACAGTCTAGCCAGTGAATGTATTTCTCGGATTATATCTGCTGTCGTTTCACCCCGACGTTCGTTTGTTTCCTTGCCCGCAGCTTCTGCCACGTGGAGTTTGAGACCGAGGCGGAGGCGAAGGGCAAAATGAAGGAGTTCAACGGCTACAAGATGGAGGAGAACGAGCTGTTCGTCGATCTGGCGGCGCCCCGCGCCCCGCAGTCGCCCGGCGGATATGCCGCCAAGACCGGTACGCTGCTCCTGCCACATGGCAAGATACACGCGTGCACGATTCAGAATCGATTCGGGTTCAAGCACTGATGCTGCTGCTGCTGTTGTTGTTGTTATTGTTGCTGCTGCTAATGTTCTTGCTGCTGCTAATGTTGCTGCTGCTGCTGCTGCTGCTGCTACTGCTGCTACTACTGCTAGTCAGCCTGCCTAGTCGGAATTGTGTTTGCCCCTCCCCTTGGTAAACTGGGGGGAATTTCGAGCACGTTTCAATTTTCCGTAGTCTTGTATCGCTGGCCTGGTCGCTCACTGTTATCGTTATCTGGCAGGTTCCACACTCTTCGTCAAGAACCTTCCCGACGGCGTCACACAGGAAGACCTGGAGGGGATCTTCCCCGGAGCGAGCGAAGTGCGCATCCCCCGGGAGTTCAAGGGGTAGGTGACGACGTGTGGGTGACATTGTGTTTGTGTGCGAGTTATTACCCCTAGTCATACACAGCTATATGCTACGTGCGTCCAGAGTGTATGTGGGGGAGGGCATCACGCTCATGCTTCACAAGTTTGGCTCGGCTGTCCCAGTAACGACTTTCTCTGTACTCGCTGTCTATTTCTGTTTCTATATCCCTGTCTCACCTTCTCTCCTTCACTCTTTTCCTTCTCTCTGCATTTGTCCTGCTGTTAGTCTTCTCTCTTTCTCTCTCGTGACACTTTCTCTCGCCCACTCTTTACCTTTACTATCTGTCTCTCTTGCTCCCACGCTCCCTTCCTGCATCGTGCCTTACGCTCTTGTTTTCCTCTTTATCGTGGCAGGTACTCCTACGTGGAGTTCGGCAGTGACGAGGCGGCGGCGAAGGCGCTGAAGGAGAAGCAAGGTCACGCGTTCCAGGGTAACGAGCTCTACCTGGACATCGCGACGCCGCGCGGAGACCGGGGCGGCTTCGGAGGAGGGTTTGGCCGCGGCGGCGGAGGAGGATTCGGACGAGGAGGAGGAGGCGGGTTTGGACGAGGGGGAGGAGGAGGATTCCGTGGCCGCGGCGGATTCGGAGGGCGCGGCGGGGACAGGGGAGGCGGCTTCCGAGGCGGCAGAGGCAGGGGAGGAGACCGTGGCAGAGGGCGTGGAAGAGGAAGGTTTTGGTGAGTGCACACTCGCGTTCGTCGTCACACGCGGGATTAGCGTCAATTTTCGATCTGCTTTTATTTTATTTTTTTCAAGTGGCGGTTTGAACACCACAGACACTTCGCTGATGTTTAAGTCTAAAGGCTGTAGAACGTTTGCAGTGCTGTACGTTCTGTGATGATATAACGATGACGAGGCTGATCTTGCGCTTACCCGCTGCGAGGCACTCTTGATGAATATCGAGGCATTTATCTGAGAACGTACTAATAGAACAAAGTTTGCTGTCTAGTCACAGATGTTCTGCAGTTCTTTTGGTGGGCAGTTATTCAGTATTAATTGTATGTTCTTTCTCTCATTCAGTGGCTGCTTAGTGGAAATCAGTATGGTGTAATGATGATGGTAGTGCTTAGGCGTAACAAAAAAAATTGTTTGTTTCCGGTTACCCGACCGACCCTACCAAATAGTTGCCGACCCTAAACATTTTTGACCACTTTTAAAAATGAAAATCAACAAATGCATTGATTGGACCTTTAATATAAATTTAAGATGAATTTATTACGAAGCATAACCCTGCACATTGCATCATGCATGCAGCCAATTAACTCACCTCTATAAAAGTAAGAAATGTACGAACATTGCGCGATGTTTACAAACGGAATCACTAGCGAGTAGGCCCTCTAGCGGCCGTTAACTAAGACAAAATAAGTCCTAAAATTTTTCAGCAAAATAAAAAATTTTACCGGCCTGCCTACCCTAGTTTGAAAAATCATGTAACCGGAAACAAACAATTTTTTTTGTTACGCCTTAGGATATTTGTATTGTGTTCTAGAAGCAAAGTGGAATCCACGATAGCATAATGTTGATAGTAATACATGGATTTTTGTGTTATGTTTTAGAACCAAAGTGGAGTCCGGGGCACCATCCTAGTTTGGATCGATTGCCATGCAAGTTTGTCGAGCGTACCTGGAAGATCTGTTTGAATTTTAAAGTGAAAACGCATCTGTGGCACGCTATGACATTTTATAAATGTGCATTTTTATTATCGAAATAGCAGTCATCACTGACCTATATGACCATTTATATGTGTGTATTGATTGGATATGGTGCCCTGAATTACGTAGTTGTGTTTGTGTTGTGTTTGTGTATATTACGTATGCCATCCGTGGGTGGTTTTATGCAGTCTTAATTGTGTGTAAGGACACGCAGATGTGTTCCTCAACTTTCTCTTCTATTGTATGATAGAAATTGTGAATTGTAGAGCATTTGTCATTCTGCTCTTGTCTTAATCAGAGTGTGCCTGCCTGCGAGAGACGATGTTACAATTGTGGATTTCAACAAATAAAATCTTGTACAGGACATTCACGTTGTCTGCGACCTTCTTTCATTTATGCTGCATGTATATACACAGTACACATTACACAGTAATTATGTTGTCGAGTAAACATTATGCATTGCTAGTAAATAAAAGATTCCGTGGGTTTTCTTTGGACTCGAACTCTATATACAAGGATGCGAGTAAGTGTAACGTAACCCATTGCAAATACAGTGTAGATTTGATACTCGCATATGTTACATACGAGTTAATTCATACTGATATCATGGTTTGTGATTGCATATTCTGAAACATGCGACGTTAAAATTTGATAGGTATAATGCAGTAATAGCACCTATATTTATGAGATTAGATACGCTTAGCTACATTTCCACCAGAGTGATAAATCACATTAATGCACTAGGGGTGCCGTAACGTGACGTCATGATAGCTGACCAATGAGCGAAGGTTGATTGTGTTTATGCTTGGTGTACAATGGCGGCGAGTCACCATGATTTTTGCAAAACGCAAGCTGTGTTTCAATTAAATGCTGATTGATCAGCCAAAATCGTCACAAACACGAAGTGTTGCGACGTTTATTTATCAACTAACCGCAATAATTTCGAGACAGCGCTCTCCGCGCAAGGAGCAGTAATCAAACGAACGTGAGTATACCGACCGCTACTGCGCTAGTACTACGGTCGTACCGACTGTATTTTGTGTAGTCAGTAAATGTGTGTCGGCGTGACACAGATCGTAGTGCAAACCGCGATCTTTGATTTAGCAGCAATAGTAACAAACATCACGTAACAATGTTGAATGAAGATTCAGCTATCAGCATATCAGCTAGACTGGATTAACAGCTAGCGTAAAACATAGCAGTAAATATTGCAATCATACACATACTCATGATGTATTACTATTAGACTATTACATTTTAAAACAACGTAACTTATTGACGAGTTGAGAAAGATTGATTGATATTTTACATTTAGTATCTGTAAATTGTGATTATTTGCAAATCATGAGCCAAATAAATTAGTCAGCCTCGCGCGCGTTACGCGAATAAAACGCGTTGAGTTGTAATTCGTGGGATGAATCTATTTTGCAGACGCTTGTGCGAAAACGAAGAGATTTTGCGCCAACGTCTACAGAATGAGTACAGTGAGCCACAGTTCCGTTCCACATTCTCCGCAGGCGACAACGACTTTAACAGGAAATGGTAAACGTTCCTTGATCATCGCTGTAGTCTGTAGATGCAGAAGAGAAGAATCTCTCTCTCGCTAATGAACTTGTATCTTTAATAAAATTATAGCTGCCTTGCAATCGCATTTAAAGGCATAATAGGCCCATTGATTATACAAAGTTGACGAATGCTACAGTAACTGGCACCTTCTGTAGTTAATAAGTACATTACCTTATAGTTAAAACGCGTATTAGTTTGTCCAATATCACTGCTAATTACTAAGAAATGTCTAATTGAAATCCGTAAATCTGGTAATCTGGCGCCAACGCTAAATTGGTTGCCAGGCAAAATAGCCTCGAATTCGGTTAGGCAACGTCACATGTTGCTACGGGTGTTTAGCAGAGAATTGTTTGTCCTGGGATGCTTATATACGACTAATGAGCTAGTAGAATGTATCTCTGGGTGTATTCTCGGTATTGAGGCACAAGTAAATAACCGTGGGTGCAAATGAACGGGTACCCACATGTCTTCAATTTCAGACACAGGTGTATTCGTTTGACCAATATACGTAAATACGCGTAGTGCCGTCTGCTTTCCATGTTTAGTCTGTGGCCGTGGTTAGTCCGCGATCCTCCCATAGCGTTGGCCCCCAACACAGCCTACTTCATTATCACGAGCGTCCGTGATTCGTACGTGGATTCCACATTCATTACAATCAGAGCTACTGTTACGTATACAGTTACGGTACTGTACTATCGCTAGCATTGCGTGCGGCCGAGCGAAAATGCATGCGTGCGTGCGTTTTTGCATGCGTGCGAAAATGTCCGGTGGACTATAAATCTGTATCACACCCGTTTCGAAGTATGCGGTTTCGAAACTGTAAACAAATCAGTCAACCGATTTCGTGGACTGCGGATTTCAATTAGACATTTCTTAGTAACCAGCAGTGATATTGGATTCGAGTCGGCGTTTGGCATGTGGGAGGGGAGGTTTAGGAGCCGATATCTCCGCCTAGGAGTATCGTATTGACAAGCGGTTGGTCTTGTTTTAGAGAGCAAAGAATTCTGCTTAATGCAATACCATGAAATTATTCTAGACTCGCAGGCAAAGTAGAATAATGTAGTCGTGAAATAGCACTATTTTCCCGTTTTTCCGTTGTACACTCTAGGTATTATTAGCTCTTGATACTATATATATAATACTATATACTATATTAATTACGTTTAAATTTATTATTACGTAAAGCCTAAATTCTTTAACATAATCAATAACTAATAATAATAATTAATAACTAATGAGCCGTTGTCTTGGCCTCGCAGGTGTAGTGGGTGAGGCACGCGTCGGAGACGTGAGCTCTTACTACGTCCCGCCGCAAGATTACGTGCAGACGAAGCTCCCGGAGCAGGATCAACCTCCTCGCTCGCCTCCCGGTCATCCCGTCTCCATGGCAATGCAAGGTACGGCACGGGAAAACGCGGACGTGCTGAGCGAAGTGTGTTAACGCAACAACAACAATAACAACGCTCAATAATGCCTGCTCCTGAATTTCTTCCGGAAATGTTTCGCGGCTTTTACGGATCGGTTTTCGGTTTAGAATGTTTGACCGATTAAGGGAATTAATTTAAAATAGTGGATAGTAGAATACAATAATATGATAGGAGAGTTGGGTCACGTAAATTGTGGTAATATGCTTCATGGGAAAATTTGCAATGAAGCATTCAAAAACGGTATCACATCGGAAAATATTGGTATTACTATATTAATTAATTTTACCGTAAGCTTCAGTAAATGTAATTATTCTGCTTTCATTGTTGAGTGTGGTCGAAGTCTCACCTGCAGATTACACACTTCGTGTTAGAAAACTATGCAGAATTTATGTTAAATGGTCGTAAATTGCGTAAAACTATGACTCACCTGTCTGGTTTGCCGCAGGGGGAGTGATTATTACCGCTATTATTACTGTTATTAATTATTATTATTATTATTACAATTATTATTGCTGTTATTACTGCTCATAGATGTAAATTTTTTCCTTCCGCAGAAGACGCGGAGACTGCGGCGGCGGCGGCCGTCCCCGGGCCGCACGGCGACCGCACATCCGTGATAGTCAGGAACCATCGCCACGACGACGACCGGGACGAGGGGAGCGCCGAGCTTGGCAGCATCCACGATCGCGCGGCCGAAGCCCCGTCGCCGCGGGCGACCGCAGTAGGAGTCTCCGCTCTTCCTCCGGATGCGCGCATAGGTGGCGCCGCCGACTCGGCGACCGCTGGGAGCGAGGGCGAATCGGAGTCGTGGGAAGCGGCGCGGAAGATGGGAGACGAAGACCGAGCAGCGAGCGAGGATAAGGATGAGGATGCCGCGAGGGAGGATGCAAAGGATGCGGATGCTGCGAGTGAGGATGCAGAAGCTGTGAGTGAGGTTGCGGATGCTGAGGCTGCAAATAAGGATGCAGGTGATGCAAGCGAGAACGCAAAGGATGCCGGAGAATATTCGGAGGTCGCAAGCGAAGATGCGGAGGCCGCATTTAAAGATGCGGAGGCTGCAATTAAAAGTGTGGCTGCTGCAATTGAAGATGCAGAGGCTGCGGGCGAGGATGCGAAGGATGCGGAAGTTGCGAGTGAGGACGGAGAGGACGAAACGGCTCCGAGCTTCGAATATGCGAAGAACGAAGAGGTCGCAAACGAAGATGCGGAGGGCGGGAGCGAGAATACGAAGGATGAAAAGGATGCTGATGCTGCAAGCAAGGATGCAGCTGAGGATGCGTGGGAAGATGTCGGGGATGCTTCTGAGGATGAGAGTGAGGATGCCAAACACGCAAACGACTACGCGAAAGCTGCTAACGATGACGCAGATGCTGCGAGCTCGCGGCGGATGCGGGAGGCCGCCGTGGCGACGATCCTGCGCCGAACCGTGGACTGCGTCTGCGGCGACGAACTCCTCGACCGGCTGTCTCGTCGTCACGACGACGACCCCGCATCCTCCGCCGGCATCGCGCATCACTACCGCCTCGCAGCCGACATGCTGTCAACGCTGCTGCGTCGCGTCGCCGCCAGCGACGACCTCGCGACCCCGGAGGCGGCGCGGCCGTGCTCGGTGCTCGTGTGGCGCGTCGACGACGGCAACGTCGGAGCGTTGAAGCGACGGCACCTGTTGCGCGCGATCAACCTGTCAGCGGCTGCGTCACGACGCAAGACGACGGCGACAACGAACAAGAGGCGCTCGGAGGCAGCTGCGAACAAGCCGCAGAGTCGCGAAGAGGCTGCGTCGCCGCGAGAACCCCTGACGACAAACAAGAGGCGTGCGGCGGCGGTGACGGCAGCGGAGGTGGCGGCGGCGAAGGAACAAGATGTGAGCGAACCTTCGGAAGAACAGCGCGAACCCTCGCCCGACGCCGGAGGACGGCCCGTGAGGTCGCTGCGGCCGCGACGGCGCGTGCCGGACTACAGAACGGCGCCCGCAGCGAGCGCGCGTGTAAGCAGCCGCCAGCGGACGCGACGCCGTTCCCCCGCAGGTCGCGCCGGCAGCTTCAGCTCGGCGGCGGCGGCCGCGCCACGCACGACGGCGCCGCGCTGCTGGGCAAGATCGCTCCGCTGCGGAGGAATCTGATCCCCGCCGGCGGGTTCCTTCCTGCGAAACGCCCCGAGCTCCGAGAAGGAGAAGACGATGCCGCGGCGAGCGAGGAGGAGGAGAGGAGAGAGAGGCTCGCCCAAATAGCGACGGCAGCAGCGGTCGTGCGAGAACGGAGGGCTGCTTGCGCGAAGTCTGAGGAGACGATGAGGAGGAATGAGGATGAGGAGAAGTGGCTCGATCGCTGTGTGGCGCGTCGTGACGACCTGCACGGCGAGCGACGCCGCGCGCGTGGGAGCGGCGTGCGCCGACGCCCGCCTACCAGCCTCGCGTCGTGCTGCCCACGCGTCGACGACCGTCGCCGCGGCAACGCTGCCGCCGCACCGCTCCATTCGCTCACTTCGACGCTCTCCCTCGCGCGCGACCCGGGATGTCACCGAGGGAGGGTTCGCCGGGGGTCACCAGAGGCGCGCGAGTCCACGCAGAGGTCGCGAGAGGAGTCGCCGCACCTCGCCGCGGCGCACGTTGTTCGGCGACCTCCTGCGGCTGGTTCGGGCGCCGCGAGGTCGCGGCGGCCGGCGGGCGACGAGTCGACGGCGTCGTCGGCGAGGACCGGTCGCCTCGAGGAGGATTCGTTGATCGATCGCCGGTCGCGCGCGACGAGAGATGGAGGAGGTCGCGAGTCACGGGCGAGGTCAACAGCGCCGAAGAAGGCGAGGAAAGCGGAATGCAGCTGCGCGGCCACGCTGGGGGAAGAAGGTGCGCGGAGGCGGAGAGGGAGGGAGCTCCCCCCAGAAGAGAAGCCTGCGCCGCGCGGCACGCGAGAAGCGTTCTCGCTGGCCACGCGAGAGCGAGCGCGGAGGAAACGCACCGCCTTGTCGCGCAGACGGCGTCTGCCGGCCGTCAAAGTCTCGCCGCAGTCGCGATGGGTCGATCGTCAATCACGGCGACACGTCGCGTCGATCGAGCCGCGGGCGGCGCGCGAGCGCGCGTGGCGGCCCCGCGGCGCCGAGACCGCGCTCGTCTAACGCCCGCCGGCGCCGCGGCTTCGCCCGAACGGTGACCGGCGCCTAGAGACGAGGAGTCGCCGGCGCGGGGCAGCGAGCGCGCGGGCGGAGCGCGCCGCGACGCGCACCGAGGTGTAGGCAGGAGATGCCGGCAGCAGAGCCGGCGCCCCCTGCCGCCGCGCGGGGCGCCAAGCGCGCGGCGGCGGGCGGCGGCGGCAGCAGCTCGGCCGAGAAACGCTCGCGGACGAACAAGCGGCGCCCCCTTGCGGTGCAGGCGGAGCGGCAGCGGGCGACCGAGGGACGACGCACACGGCAGACGGCCGCACTGGAGGACGTGGGACGAAAGTCCGACAAGGGAACGTCCGAAGAGGAGGAGGCGGAGTCAGAGTCTCGCGGTCGGCGGACGCGGGGCCGGGACGCGGCCGCACGGTCGTCGCGGCAACGCGTGGCGCCGTCGAGCGAATCGCGAAGCCGACCAGAGGAGGAGGATGCGGGGCGGAGGCGGTCGCTGAGGAGCAGGGCTGCCTCCCCTGCCGCAGCCCCGTCTCCGCGCGGCAGCGACAGCGACACGAGTCTCTCTAGCCTGCAGTCAGTCGGAGCCGTCGAGGATCTGTCACCAGGGCGAGCCGCCGGTCGGTCGCCGCGGGGAGCCACCAGGCAGTCACAGGAGGGAGCCACCAGGCGGTCACAGGAGGGAGCCAGCGGCTGGAGGCAGCTGCGCAGTCGCGCGTCGGAGGAAACCCCGCCAGCGACAGCGGGAGCGGGTTCCGTGGACTCGGCAGCGCGTACACAGCGCGCCCGCCCGCAGCCGACTGCCAGGACGACCCCCGCAGTGACCCCGGGGTCGCGACCCTCGCCCGGAGGTCGCGCCACTCGCTCCCGGCCCGCCGTCCCCGCTCCACCGGACGAGTCACCGGTTCGCGCCACTAGGTCGCGACGTGGGGCGGGGGAGGAACCGCCGCACGAGGAGGAGGAGGAGAAGGAGAAAGTTGGAGGGAGAGGCGCGCCGACGCGGCGCGCATTGCGGTCAGCGGGCGCGGCGGCAACACCGAGGTCAGAGGTCATCGCCGACGACGACGACGGCGACGTCTCGCGGTCGAAGGCGTCCAAGAGAACCCTCGTCGAAGTCCGGCCCCCTAGAGGGCGCCGCCTGCCGCCGGGGCGCGCCGTCGCCGAGAAGTCTGATTCGTCCGCGGAGGATTTCGCCGACGACTCGCGGCGGCCGGCGACGCGACGCCGCTCGGTGGCGCCCCCTATCGCGTGGGAGGTCGTCGCGACGACGGAGACGGGCCGAGGACGCACGCGCTCGAACTCGGACGAGTCGCGGCGCGTGAGCGGGATACGTCTGCGCGCCGTCGTCGCCTGCGACCGGCTGGCGTCCGACGAAAACAAAGTGAAGAAGGAAGAAGAGGAGAAGGAAGAGGAAGAAGAGGAGGAGGAGGAGGAGATTTTCAGCAAGAGGCTGCGGAACAGGAGGGCGTCGCGTTCGGCGCCGAAACGCCGGAGTCTGCAAGAAGCGGGGGGAGGAAGGGAGGAGCACGGAGGAGGAGGAGGAGGCGAGGAGGAGGAGGATGCCGGGTCGCACACGAAAGCCCCGCACCGCGGCTCTGACGACTCAGAGTCGGTAATATTCGGCAAGAAGTTACGAACGAAGGGAGTGACGTCGTCACGGGTCGGACCCTCGCCGAAATCTCGGAGCCTCCGCGGAAAGCCGAGCTGCATCAAAGACGACTCCGCCGCGGAGGGTGCGGAAGGAGAGACGAAGCCGGAGTACGGAGCGGCGAAATCGGAATCCGAGGATTCGGAATCGGCAATATTCGGCAAGAAGTTGCGAAAGAAGACGTCGTCGTCGCGACTTAGACCTTCGCCGAAAGCTCGGAGTCTCCGGGGAAAGCCGCGATACGGAGAGGAAGACTCCGCAGAAGAAGAAGAAGAAGAAGAAGCAAAAGCAGAAGAAAGAGAAGACGATCGAACGGCTTCCAAAGCTGCAAAGTCGGACGGCGATTCCGAATCGGATTCCGCGTTTTACGCGAAACTGAGACAGCAGGCGGCGACGACTCGTTCCAGACGGGCGCCCCGTCGCGCGGCGGCAGCTCCAGTCGCGGAGCGGGATTCCGGGGTCGCCCACAGGTCGGACACCGACGATTCCGACTCGGAAACTTTCGGAATGCATGCGCGGAGGAAGCCCCCGCGTTCGAAACGTACGGCGAGGCCTCGGCGGTGCGGGAAGGCCCCCCACGCGGAGGAAGACTCGGAGGGAGAGGAACGGGAGAGGAAGCCGGCGCGCAAGACGAGAAGGAGACCCGGCGGGGCGGAGCCGGATTCCGGATCGGACACGGCCGGGGTCGCCGCGAGGTCCGCGTCGCCCGTCTCAGACGGCGGAGTCGTGGCGCCAGTCTCGCGCGGAGCGGAGTCCGGCGACGATTCCGAGTCGGAAATCTTCGGAAAGCTCCGGAGGAAGGCGGTGGCAACGGGAGGAGGTCAGAGGTCGGCGTCGGCGCGGGGGTCGCGGTCGCTGAGCGCGCCGCCTCGCGACGACTCCGACTCGGAACTGTTCGGGGAGCGGCGAACCGAGCCGCCGCCGCCCGACGCCTCGTTCGACTCGATCGTCAGCCAGGTGGCGCCGGCGGCGGCCGCCCCCGCAGCGTCGCGGCAAGCGCGCCCGGCGACGACGCGCTGCAACAAGGCGCACCGCAACCTCTGGCCGTCGTCGCGGCGCGGCGAGGCCGCGGACAAGCGAACGTCCGACGTCGGAGATTCCGCGGAAAGTCCGGCGAGAGAGGTAGAGACGGACGCGGCGCGCGGGGGCGCCGTGCGCGCCGCGAGGTCCGTCGTCGCCGTGACGACGCAGGAGGTGACGACGGTGTCGCCGGCTGGCGCGGGGGCGCCGACCCGATCGCGGTCAGCGAGCGAGGGCTCTGGTGGCGCCCCCTCGCCGCCGCCGCCGGTGTCACGGGCGCGCGCGTCTAAGGCGCGAGCGTCGGAGTCCATCCGCGCGTGCGTCGAGGCAGAGCAGAACCCGACGGGCGTCCGCGCCACGAGGAGGGCGCCCCCTGGAGGCTCGCGCGCGAAACGCGCGACCGAGTGCGCGTTGAAACCGCCGGCGAAGCGCGGACGCGGGCCGGAGGTCGTCGCCGCGACGACGGCGACGTCTCCCCCGCCGCCCCAGCCGCCGCCGACGGCGACGCTTTGCGACGTCTCGTTCTCGGAGTCGGAAGGCGACGACGTCGGAGGAGACGGTGGCGCCCCCGCGCTGCAGCGAGAGCAAGCGTGGTCGCCGCCGGCCGTGCCGTCGTCCGACAGCGACACAGACGTCGACGACGATGACGGCGACCATCAGGGGGCGCCGGCGGACGAGGATCGCGGCGTCGCGAAGAGCCTCGCGATGGCGCGCCGCCAGTTCTACGACCTCGCGTCCGCCGTCGTCCGCCCGGCGACGTTCCTCCCTCCAGGGGGCGCCGACTCGTCGCGCGACGGCGACACGGAGTCGTACTCGGAGAACGACGCAGAATTCGGCGATGGAGGTGGTGAGGGGGAGGGGGAGGGGGCGGACACGGCGGCCGCGGGAAGGGACGTCGGGTGCCAGTGGGAGGGCGGAGCAGAGGGCGCCACGTGGCCGTCGTTCGCGGATCTCCGCCGCGAGGGGGAGTCGCTGATGCGGCGCAGCAAGCGTGCGACGACCGCGATTAGCACCAAGTCCTCGCAATCCGCCGCAAACTTCTACCCGAGGATCTAGCCGGTCGCCGTGACGACGGGAGTCGGTTGCCGCGGACGACCGCGATCAGCGCCAGGTCGTCGCAGTCCGCCGAAAACTTCTTCCCGAGGATCTCGCCCGTCGCCGTGACGACGGGAGGCGGTCTCCGCAGACGACTACACGTCTCGCGCCCTGGCGTCTCACGCAAGTCAGCGGGATGTCTCGACACTCACCGTCTACGCGAGATGGTCGAGATATGTGAGACGGTCCGATTCCGTTCGTCGCCGTGTCTGCTTGTTCATTCGTCGTCGTGCATAGTCGTCGCGTCGCATCCGCGGCAATCGATGCGTAGCGCGCATTCGATCCTTTTTCGAGGCCGCCATGTTTCTCCACGGCCCACTGCGTTGCCGAAAATTGTAGATATAGTACGTAGTTTGTAGGTTTTAATTAAATTCACGGAATTAATTTTTTCGTCGCGTCAATTATTTCACTTGTCGGCATCTGTGGCATGCGTTTTATCGTAGGTGTGTGTGTTAGTAAGTTTGTAGTTGACACCTAGGCTTTTAGCTGGTGTACCGACAGGGTAGGTGTTACTATTTAGAGAGAAAAGGCATCTAATCAATTTTGCATCCCGCATGCAGTTTGTAATTGGCAGAAAAAGTAGTAAGCCCTTTTTCCTCCCATTCAATGGGTGTAAAGTGAAGTGTCGTGTAGATACATGTAATGTGCAGAAGTCTGTTGTAAGCAAACGTATTGTTTAACGTTGTACATTCTTTTCATCGATCGATTGTGCGTGCGTGCGTGCGCGTGTGTGTGTGTGTGTGTGTGAATTTTTTTATGGCGTCTTTTTTGTTATCGCGTGCGTCGGTCGGCTCGATGTTTGGTGTCCGAAGGAGAGATTGCAGCGGGCGGGAAGCTTGCTCGGAATTTTCGGATGCAGCGGAGCACCGGTCTTCATGTGCTTGCGTGCGTGCGTGCGTGCGTGCGTGCATGTTAAAGCCGAGTTTACTCATGTATTGCTTGTAGGTAGCTTGAAGTCATGCGAGTGTTGAAGGTGGTGATCACACACACAGACGCACGCACGCACGCACGCGTATATCATCATGTATACATGTCTTGAATGTGTTTTATAAAAAAAAATCGTGTGTATGATTTTACCCCTCGCTGTTATATTAGGGCGTAATTAGAAATTAGATATGAAATAAAATCGTCCCCCATCGTCTATTAATTAAATTATTAGCTTTATAACCTATAGACCTATATATAACTTTTACCGTATTAGATATAGACCTCGGTACTGAGTCCATAGTTCGATACACCATGTTATAAACTACACGGTGTGCTGCGCTAGTGCCGTGTACTTAATGTATTTCGTGCTCTAAACTTTAGCGTTTCGTGCTCTAAACTTTAGCGTTCCGTGTTGTAAACTCGATTTTAAACTGGAGCAAAACAACGACGAACGTTAATTGAAACGCACTGACGATCTTGCACGCGTGATCATCGCTGTTCGGTTGTGCGTTCCTTGTTGTTCATCGAACCTCTAGTATTACTACTGTTCGTTTGACGATCATGACCACCCTAGGTGGCTGTAAGTGTACATGTATAGTGTGTTGTAAGTGTATGTGCAGTGTAGTGGGGGGGGGGTGTAATCTTGCTGACTAGGGAAAGCTGAGTCGTAGAGAACCGTGTCGCAATGCTGCAGATATTTCGACGTGAGGTAAACTCGAGTGAAAGTCAAAAATGAATGAGGTGAAGATCAGAGTTAGATGAACGAGGAATGAGAACTCATGATTGTCTGTATGAACTGCGAGTGTTAAGTGACAAAGGGCTTTTCGTGTTCTAAATAGGCCAGTAGGCTATCACGCTTACTTTCATGTACACGTATACTTGGGAAAAATAGAAATATATTTCCGTATTTGTATAAAAAGTGGAAATGGAAGTGCGTTGCTAGCATTCTTTTATGCCTATAGGCCTTACTCGTGTCCATGCTACACAATTACTCGTGCTTTACCATGGTTCCCACAAGTGTGAATTCTTCTTTCAAGGATAATCTGTGACAAATAGTTTTAGATTTTTAGAGTCATCATATCAGGAGTAGATAATAGGGAAGCATTAGTAAGACAGCATTTCATTGGTGTGGTTTGATTTTAGTTGTATTGCCTCCTGTCAGCAGTTGGTCAGAGATTTGCCTTGTTAGTTGTCATGCTCACGTTAATTCTATTGTTTTATCAACAAGGAAAATGTGTTCGAAATTCTTAAACGTGTGTACTCACATTCATAAAGCTAAGAATGATTTGTAGAAATCACTTGACACCATAGGTATTCATTGTGCATACTCTGTAAGGGTATGTTGATTAAGCGAGCTTTTTTTCGGCATGTGCGTGCTTCGTCTGTTTAGTCGGAAGATGATGGATGGACTTGTCTCATTTTACAATCTGCATCTTTCTTCTCGTCAGTGTATACGATTCTGTATCTGAGTGCTTGTACGTACGTATACATTTATAAAGAAAGGCAAAAATAAGTCGGTGGTAAAACAAAGCTCTGTTGGTTCATTGGTTTTATTGCTGGTTTTATTGCAGTTATTAGTATCTAGTATCTAACGCTCTCTCTCTCTCTCTCTCTCCCTCTCTCTCTCTCTCTCTCTCGCCCTCTCTATCTATCTACTTTCGTATATCTCTGTCTCTCTCTCTCTCTCCTCTCTATCTGTCTATCTACATCTCTCTATCTCTCCCCCCTCTCTATATCTATCTATCGAACATCTCTCGTATCTCTAGTTATATAATCTATCTATCTCCTTCTAGTTCTTTCTCTCTCTCGCCTCTCCGCAGACCTTTGAGAGAGGGTTTGAAAATATAAGATGTTGCTCATTGCCAACTATCCATTCCAAATGAAAGTTAATGGGTCGGCAAATTAATCTCCATTAATAAGCGAAATGCGGGCGCTTTTAGTTGGCCCATTTTGACATTCTTGCGCACATCTAGCTGCTGAATAATAATAGAAAACTAACTGCTAGCGATATTATTCTCTTATAATCCAATTACTCACCCATCTCACGGACATGGAATCGTCACCATAGACCGATCCAAGGCGGTTAAAAAATCTTGACAGAAAGTCTATTGTGTTTCGATTGCAAACTCTGTATCAACCCGCCAAGGCACAAAATTTCGATTTACAGGCTACTACTACTCCCTTTACAACAGTCAATAACAACAACACACCCGCCCGAGGACGCGCACAGTGGGCGTGGGGTCGCACGCGCGCCTGTGCGACGGGTATTATTGCTACCTCGGCCAGGTGAAAAAGCTATCACCACACACACCGCATGCCGCAGACACAACACACAGACCGCCACGACGCGACCAGCACACACAGACACGCACGCAGCACAGCGGCACGCGGCCGCCACACACACATCCACGCCATCGCAAACGCGGACACGCCCGGACTCGCACACGCGGGTGTGGGTCGCCCGCACGCCGGTGCGCGTGTATTGTAGGCCTTTTATGGCCTTTATGGCCTTTTATGGCTCAATATTTTCATGCCTCGCGTGGGGGCGTTGGAAAAAAGAGTTTGGAGCCAAAAACACGAAAGACTTTCTAGTCAGAAGATATGTGTAAGCGCGATGTGGACTGAGCGTCGGGATGGGCCGGGGGGGGGGGGGGTCACCGAACCGTGAGGGGGGGGGGACGTAGAGAGGGGAAGTGAGGGGGGGAGGAATATGAGCGCACATTATTTGCTATTAATAGGTGTGGCACACACATAGTGCGCATAGAAACGTCAAAATGCAACAGTTGCGAGCGACAATACATACATACAGGCACATAAGATACATACATAACATAAATACGACTACACGACACAGCACGACGCGCAGCGACCACACACGATACACGCACACACACGCACACACCACGATGTACGCGCACGGACACACACAGACCGGAACGGCCACGCACGGCACACAGGCCACAACACGGCAGCTACGCGGGCGCACACGACGGAGACAGCACGCACGACACGACCGACGCGGCACGCAGCGCACACACACAATGCACGCGACACAGATACGCGTAAACGACGCCACAACAAACGCGCAACACAAGCACCCACACAACACACGCACATCACACACGCCACGCACAAACTCGACACAGCACAACAATATATAGTACGCAGCCCACGCACGCACAATACTACCGCGCACACTGGGGACGCGTGCACACGGCACGCGACACACATAGTACGCGAACGCACGCACAAGATATGGCGGCACGCGACTGGCAGCAGGACACACGTGCGCGCACCATACATACATAG